TATTTTTGCTCTACTAAGGCAGGCAAGAAAAACCAGTGAATGCCAAGATTCAGTAGAGAGTTAAAATCTAGGCTTCCAGAGTTGAAGTTCACTGTTCATCATGATGCTCATCTACCTTCTCAACATGTCTTTTGGGTCTTGGATATGGTAACCCAAAGGCAAGCCAGGGGAGAAATCAAGCAGACTATGGAACAGAGCCAAGGGTTCAGCTGAATTGTGGCTTTAAAACAGCAGTGACATCAACTGTGTCCTCTGCTTAGGAATCCCATGATCCCAACACTACTAGAGAAAGCCAGGAAATTCTTTCTCCACTGAAACTAGTCTATAATTAGTAAGCATCCCCTTCCACGTTGATGCCTACAGTTTGGTGTCAGGATATTTTAAACCCTCCAAAGAATGTGTGTTTAACAGACTTTGCTAGAATAGTATAAGGTATCTTAAATGATTTTTTAAAAAGGTGCCCTTTTCACAATACATACCATGAATTAGAGGATAGAGAAGAAAGGATTAATTTATACCAATAGAACAATCTGAGAAAGGAGAAGCCTAGACCGGCCAGGGTAATAATCCAGAGAAAATAAGCTTTGCTGACCGCAACTTCATTTGTATCTTTTGGCAGAGGTTACATATCAGAGGGGCAGTCCTTCAGCTTCCTTCCTTTCCTAAAACAAGCCATCTGGCAGGTGGATTGCTCAAAGCAATGGTGGTATTCTACCACTTCGGCCTTGTTCTACCGAGCCGGTAGCGGAGACTGAACCTGTTCTCTCCGGCACTTTGCTGCTGGGCTCGCCCGCCTGCCCGGGCTCCCATACTAACCTCTATGTTCTACTTTTGAAGTGCAGCAGCTTTGTGCAGCAAGCAGAGTGCCAGGCGGCAGCTGCTGAAGCAACAGAGTGCAGGCTTGCAGGAGGTGCACATTTGGCATGCGCATGCATACAATGTATGTGCGTGCATGCAAAGCGCGCCCACCAAGCCACACCCACCGGTGGTAAAACTATTTGAAATGCACCACTGGCTCAAAGCTCTTAAACCCATGGTGCAGCTTTGATCTATCGTGCCTAATTGCCCCATGGTGGGTCTGTTTTTCCAACCACCAGAAATAAAGAGAGCCAAGCTCCTCCAATACAAATGGAAAGCGCTGAGCCTGCCTAAGCCCCCCTGTATTGTCATCCCAAAATCGTAGCAAGAAGTGAAATTAAAGAAGGAAGAGAAGTGCCCATGTGTATTGAATATAAAGGCTGCACTTCGTGTCAGTGAGGAGACAGAAAAGGTAACCATGAGGATGTTTAAATTTCTTTTTCTACATTCTGTTGGAAGGAGAAATCTTGAGTCTTTAGAAGGTTTGCTGGACCAACTGAAGAGTGTTAGAACAAACAGACACATTCTCAATAGTGAGCTGCTGGCTCAGTCCCATTCATAGATGGCCTTGACGCTACACTCGAGGAGCAGTGATATGCAAAATGCAGAAAGGGAGTAAGAATCAGCGAGCCAACCAAATTTTAAAATGTTAGAAGAGAAAATAAAACGACAAATAATTAGAACTAATTTATATAAATACCGTTTGTGGCATTTTTTTTCATACCTTCCTATCCTTGCTTCCACCAAAGTCATTTGCTGCTTCATACATTACCTTTTGTTCTTAAATCATCACACCTTATTCTTTCTCAGGATCCTATAAACTCTACACAATTACATTTGGGCTTTCCATTCTTCTCAACCCATTCATAATTTGTGAATCCACATCCATTCTCTCTATACAAGCAACCTGTTCCTCTTCTACATTGTCTCTCACTTTTGTATTTAATCCATTCATTTTTGACCTCTTCTTCTTCTATTATATATGCATTCATGTTCACTAATTTTAATAAATATTCATTCCTGGCAAAAGGACACATACTACCCGGTATCTTTCAACCTGCATTTATGTATCTTAATTTTTTTCCATTTGTTTTTCAATCTTTATTAGTCATTGTACCAAGATACATACTAATAATATTAAGGTATGAAAATCAAAGTGGAAAGATTATGGTATAAATCGGCCATGGTGGTCCTAATGGTTATTGGCACACTGGATGCCGTATCATGAAATCTTGGATGGCACTCTCCACTTTTCAATTACAAAAGGCCACACATATGCTGTGCTGATATCTTATGGCATTCTAGGTTGTTGGGAATAACTCAATGCATGCGAAAGCTAAAGAGTCAATAGCTGTGATTTCACACTGTTGTGTATATAATAATAACAGTAATGAATGCCTTGAGCATTGGCAAAACCACAATCAGACATTTGCAAAAGACAGCTTTACTTGGGACAATTTGCATAAAGACAATACTTTAACACAACAAATAATAACATCTGCTTATCCCAGGTCCTTGGGAAAAACTTGATCGGTGGATCAAAATGCCAAATCCAGTCTAAACATCTGGCTGACCGTGTAATGAACCATAACGTGCTGCCTGACTTCTGACAATTCAGGTGCTATATAAATTACTATTATATGCTATATTAATAATGTTATATATATATTATTACCAAAGTGGTCCCTATTTTTCTACTTGCATTTTTACATGCTTTCGAACTGCTAGGTTGGCAGAAGCTGGGACAAGTAACGGGAGCTCACGCCATTACACGGTGCTAGGGATTCGAACCACTGAACTGCCGACCTTTCTGATCGAAAAGCTCAGCGTCTTAGCCACTGAGCCATCGCGTCCCTATTATATGCTACATTGTATTAATTATGTTATATATATATATTATTACACATTAAGGTTGAACAGAGTGATGGCCTACTGGTGAACACGCTTGCCTTCCACTCAGAAGGTCAAGAGCGCAATCCTAGGTAGCATAAGATGTTTCTCTCTCCTAGGATGCAGAGAAAAAAAAAATCTGCTGCAAACTCTCTGCATGGTGTCAGGAAGGGCATCTAGCCAATAAATGCTCAGCTCTGTCCAGTTGCCCCAACTATCTCAAATTAAGAGATTACAGAGTCATAAAAAGGGAGTATTATTACATGTTAAGGTGCTGGCCTAGGAACCAGGAGACTGAGTTTTAATCCCACCTTAAGCATGAGAGCCAACTAAATGACCTTGAGTTTGTCACTCTCTCTCTCTCAGCCCAATCCACCTCAAAGAAAGAAAAACAAGACAAGGACTGGTAAGTATTTTCTCCACTTTGAATTACTTATAAAGTAATGAAGGTGGAATAAGCAATTACTACATGTTTCCCGCAGATTGTAATTTGGAGATACATAAAATGTACCGACAGATACTCAGGATGTCGGCCCAATCCATCTGTTAAGAAAAATAGAGGAATTATATATCTATACTTTTACTGGAAACTCTAGGATTTACCGTATGAGAAACAAAGATGATTTACTATTGCAGTACAATAGTAATGCTGCTAGCATTTCCTCTACAGAAGCAGATGATAGCCAACAATTAGTGGTTAGTCACACACAGCATCAAAACATTCCCCATAATAAGCTATCATAAATTTCCTTCTTTTTTTAAAAAAACCCACTTCATTTAAACATATAAAAATGCTGTAAGTCTACATGCTAATCGATAGGGAACTAGGCTCTTATATGTAGTTCAATAAGCAATTTAAGCAGAAGAATCCTTATTGTAAACAGAGGGTTTCTTATAAGAAGAGTGCCAGAAGGTAGCAATTTGCCCAAATTCTTAGTCGTTAAGCGAATCCAGCTTTCCAAATCGCATTTTTTGCTGGTTGTTTTTTTTTTTTTTTGCCAGAATGTTGCAAATTACAATCATGTGACTGCAGGATGTTGCAACTGGATGTAAATATCAGCCTGTTGCCAAGCACCTGAACTGCGATCATGTGACTATTGGGTGGGTGGGTGGAGAGGACACAGTACGATGACCATTAAGTGTGAATTTAAGTTGTGATTGTTTCAGAGGAAGTTGTTGTAATTTTGAATTAACATTAAACAAAAAGCTGTGAGTCAAGGACTACCTGTACTAGTAGACCAGTAATTTATTTATTTATCTATTGAATTTATATTGCCGCCTATTCGCCCATGGCGACTCAAGGCAGCTTACAGAATATAAAACCACATTTAAAACAATAAAACTAATAAAAAGAATCAAATAAATTCATATAGTATAATATAATAAAATCATATTTTATTATACTATAAAATCATATATAGTGTAACATAATAAAACAGTTCCCAACCTTTCCCCCTTGATGGCCCGGTGGATTGTGTGTGGGGGGAGGATGGTTCCATGTGAGCAGTAGGCATCTGACCGCCACTCACGCAATTGGAGCTGTGTGCATGTACACATGCAGCTTATGTGGCCCACTAGTGGGCTATGGCCCCAGGGTGGGGGACCCCTGTAGTAGACTACCAACTACTGCTGATAACAATGCCAGGGTTCTCTCTGCTGCTCTTTTGTGGCATGCCGTGGCACTCAATGAAATGGCCAAGGAAGAGCTCCTTCTTAAACATGGGAGATGTTCAGAATCTTTTCTGTTAACTGGGTTTGCTAGATAAAACTGAACATTGTGGCTGTGGTGAATGGCAAGGCGATACGGACAGTAATGCCAAGGATGGATAATCTGCTCACAATAGCCAGGCTGCATCCAAAAATGGTGAAGGAACTAAGATGGGCAACTGGGTATATTGCAGCTTAAACAGCACATGAGGGATATTAGATGGGAGGAAACTTGAGAAAAACTTGACGGAGGGTATATGGCATTAACCGCTTTTACCTCTCTCAGTTAATCTGGTTCCAAACAAGTCGATGGAAAAGCGAGAGGAACAAAATGTCTTATACAACCAAGTAAAGCCCCACTCTTCTCCACCCATCTCTCTGTGGCTCTCTTGTGACAAAATGGCAGCACATTCCTTAGAATGACCAACTCTCTTCCTAAGCAACGCTACATTATTTCCAGGACATTTTTCGTGGCAGTTGCCTAAGTTCATAAAGGCACCACTGTTGCTTTTCTCCATTGGTGCTGCAAGAACAGGTTTTCTTACCTCTAACTGTGATTCTTCTTCTACAGCAAAGACTTTTGGAAGGAAGCCTGGCCCTCTGCACATGCATCAAGATGGGGTTCCAACATTCCCCCCAGCTCCCCAAGACTGATGAGTAAGCATCTAAAGAAAGGAACATAGGGGAGGAGCTGTGAATGCACAGATGACCACTTGAAGAACAATAGTTCTTCATTATAGTTTCTGGGCATCACACACAGGGGAGAGTCATCAGCTTAACTCCAGGAACTAGGCAACTGCTTCTCTAGTTGAGAAGAATGACAAAACAACCCTTCCAAATCCCACCACAGTTTTCTGCTCACTCAAATGAAACAGCTGCTTATCAAAGGACCTATAGGTAGTCCTTGCCTCACGGCCACAATTCGGACCAGAATTTATGTTGTAATTCGTTGCGGTAAGTCGAGTCTTCTTATGAAATTATAGGAAGAGGTTGACTAATCTGATCTCACTTGCTACTTTGTGAAAATTTGGCAAAAATAAAATAAAAATTAAAAATTAAAAACCCTCCGTGGCACAGATCCAGGTTAATTGATGAGCTGTCTTGTCCTGCTAAATCTGAGATGGGGAACTATAGCCCTTTTATCCCTGTGCAAAGATGACCCTGCCCTACTCATGCCAACAAAGGACGCCTACTGTAGATCCCATTGGTCAAGGAACTCCGGCTGAGGAATTCACAAGAGCCGTCTCTGCTGTAGCCCTCTAGAACAGGGGTCTCCAACCTCGGCCACTTTTAAGACTTGTGGACTTCAATTCTCAGAATTGAAGCTGGCTGAGGAATTTTGGGAATTGAAAGTCCACAAGTCTTAACGTAGCCGAGGTTGGAGACCCCTGCGCTAGAACATCCTGCCCCCTGGGGTAAAGTTCCCCCCCGACCCTTTATCTTTCGTAAGGCCCTGAAGACTGGCTCTGCTGGTTAGCCTGGGAACCCAAAGGGAAGTACCACATGGGAGTTGACTTCTGGACTAATTAACTGACCCCACTACCCCCTTGTGCTTCCTGCTCCCCTTCTGCCCTTCTTTTTTACTTATTATTGCACTTTTACTGTTTTAATTGTTTCATTGCTTTGCTATTGTTATGTTACCATTTTGTTTTATCATCTGTTCTATTTTACTGTTGTAAGTCATCCAGAGTAGCCCCCACAGTGAGATGGTGGCAAATAAATTTAAGAAACAAACAAACCAATAAATAAAAACATATGGGAGGAGTGAGATCACAGGACTTATTACTCACTGCAAGAAAGAGACCTTTTGACATGGAAGGGGTACCCAAAAGCTGTGCACGCTGTTGTCTCTCTCTGCCAAATATTGACACTGGCTTGGAGTGTCTGTATGGTTGGATCACTGAGATCTAAACTGAGTCAATACTACCCTGTACAAGTGTCTTAGACTATCACATTTATTCATCTTTTAATAGTGTGATACTAAAAAGATACCCACACAATCAAGACTATACACACACACACACACACACACACATACACACATTAAATCATTTGCTAACTTCAGATTTTGCAAAATGCATTAATGAGCAGCTTCTAAAACTGTGGAAGCTCTGGATACATTGCAGAAGGTTTTTAAAGAGACCAAACTACATTTATTATTATTAATATTAATTATCAATTAAAAAAAGAATGTAAATAAAATATTTAATAGAGAGTTGGAATAGCCTATATTGCAAAATCAGTGACAGCAGGATTTAAGAACTGTTATGTATGCTTCTTGGAATTTAAAAACTCATTTAATGCAACAAAAAGTCCTTTTTGAGGGCTTATTGTGTTTGTCAGAAGGACGCTCCCAAAAGCTTGGCTGCTATCTTTTTCACACTAGAGATATAATTTGAAAAAAATCCAGTACATGATATGTACAGGATAATGGTACTTGATTAAATAAGGAACAAGAAGTAGAGATGGCAGCATGTCATGTATAAAAGAGTTCCTTTAACATTTAAAGAAAAAAATTCTACCCAAAAAGGAAAAGCAAAGAAAAATCAGAATCAAATTCTACTTCAATTAATTTTTCATTCTATTCTTGTCCTTCATTCCATTCTTGTCCTGATTTTGAACCCATTTGGGGTTTACCTGCGCTGAACATGACTATTGCATGAACCAGAGTAAAGGAAATGTGAGTAAGTCCACCTACCACTGAAGGCAATTATCCTACAAATCATCATTTAAGGTGGAAGAATTATATCCTACAACTGTTATTCTCTAAGACAAGTTTGGTTTATCCGCCCTGCCTTGTATGAAGGATTATTATCATGATATCATCTTTTCCATGTAATTCCCTTGTGTGTTCCCACTGCTTATCTTTTTTTCTATCCTGCAAAAAAAGAACCCTTCATTAATGCATTTTGATTGACAGGGCTAAAACCTCCCCATCTGGAAACATCTATTAAAACTATAGGATATACATAAGTGTGGTGTACCTGTGAGTGCTCAAAGAGAATTGAGCGTGAAGGTATTAATTTGATTGGTAAAACAGGTGGATGTAAGTCGTGGGAAGGGATTTTCAAAAATTGGGTAAAGGGAAAACTCAAGCCTTCAGATGTTTCCACGCATCAGCAAAGCGAACGCACAGCTTGCTTGCTTGCTTGCCTTGAACACTGCCTTTGTTTTTTCTCCCCACACAAATCTCTCAGTTTGAAAATCTTCACTTGAAATCAACAGCAGTGAGAAATGTGGTGGCAGCCGTGTGGGAAGTAGAGAGGTAAGGAAGCAGAGTTCAAGAGCACTAAAGATTTGCTCACTTCATGCCGCACAGGCAGAGAGAACGGGAGGGAGAAGCAAACCCAAAGAAAAGACAAACAAACTCAAATGGAAAATTAGCAGAAGGGTAGGATATGCAGGAAAATCGTACAGTGCAAGTATTATTATTAATTTGCTGTAAACAACCCAGTCACTCTAATTAGATAGATAGATAGATAGATAGATAGATAGATAGATAGATAGATAGATAGATAGATAGA